AAATGAAATTCAATCTCGTTCAGGATATGTTCAAAGCCAATGTATAGAGTGTTGTCTTTGAATCAGTGTTCTAATATAGTTTTGCTCCTACCAAAAGTTGTTTGAATTTCATTATGTTGGTTTTGGAGCATTTGGTTCACCGTGTCTCATTCTCTACAAAGGTCTCCCTTGCTATCACCCAACCACTTCTTCAATGCTGCATGTGAAGATTCCACTCTATTAGTTAACCATGTTTTCGTCTTCACCTTTTTTCTCTTTGTTGCCAACTGCATTTTGAGCTATACTCTCAGATTTTTTGTTATGTATGATATCGACAAAGTAATGTGGTTGATAAAGGAAACACAGTGCCAACCGCATTCATAAGGGCGTTATCTCAGTCGGTAATAATGACCTTAGGCGTGTTTTATGGATCCTTCAATAAAGTCTTGTATATACCCAACGCCCAAGTTACGTTGTCTTCTTTCTCACATTCCAAAAAACCAAATCCAACTGAAAATGTCTTGTCCGTAGAGGTGACACCGACAATTTCTAGAAGCGGGAGTCTGTACTTGTTGGTCTTGTACGTCGAATCAAATCATATGGACGGTTGGAAATATATTGAATAAATTGATACTTTCTGGATGATTCCAAAAAATGTCACGAATACTGACGTTGTCCTCACAAACTTTGTACCTGGAAACATAGTGGTTATCGTCCAAACATTTCAATAAATGTTGCATTTCGGACCTCAGACCTCTTTGTGCAATGTGTTGTTTGTAATGATAATTGTAAACTGACTTGATATTTGAAATACATTCTGGTTTATTCAGTTTCAAACTGATAAGTATCTTTCTCGGTGCAACTTTGACCAACGACAATTCTGAAATAAATTCTTTCTCTAACGTCTTAAGCCGACATACAATTGGATACCCTTGTAGCTTGGTGCCTAACGCATGATTATGCATACCGGACATGACATTATATCGCCAAACCTTATCCGCCCTACAATAACCGCGTAATTTAAACGGACACTCACATTTCCTCGATCCCATGTCATCATGTTTTATCTTCTGAAGTCTTGAAACATATTTTCCACTTCTCTCACATTTCATCACAACAAATGGTTGCCTTCTACTACTCCAATTGTCGGATCTTTCAATCACAACTCCAAACCCAAGTTTGCTAGCTTCCATTCGAATCCATTCAATCATATGTTGACGAGATGTGAAACTTTTATCATTTGGAAATTATTGTCCATAATCCATCACAACAGCATTCGTTTTTTCAACGTCCTTCACCTCATTCGTCTTAGCATCTTCAATGACCTTGTCTGGAACCTTTACGACAACTTTGACAATATTGTTGGGGTGCAACATATCTAACATGTTCAAAAAAACATAAATTATGTTAAAACAGAATTCTGGTTTTGTAACAAACATGTTTTCAGATATGCACATTCGAATTAAGGTAGGTTGAATTTGAATATGCATATCTGAAGCGGCGCTATTTTTTTCTACCACAACCCAACATCAATGCAGGCAATGTATGATGAAGTGATGATAATTTATCTCAAATTGCATCTTTCTGTGTTCTCTTTGTTATACTCAAACACTTGAAACTTGATTTGGAGACAAAATTTTCATTGATAATGGTTGAAGTTTTGTTGAGGGTTTTGGTTATGGAGGAAAAGAAAATGAATGAAATAGTTGGAATGGATGATCATGCAACATTCTAATATGGAAAGGGTAGTTTCAGATATGCACATCTGAACGCACCTCTTAGCATGTTTCGGATGTGCATATCTGAAACTACCTCAAGAATTTAAAAAAGTCCAACGTTTAAGTAATAAAACGTGGAAAAGGAGTGTCTTTGCATATCTAAAACATGCTGAGAGGTGCGTTCGAATGTGCATATCCGAAAAGTATTTTCAGATTTTCAGTAGTGAAAATCACCACTACTAAGTTTAAAAAGAAATTCTCATCTTTGATTTATGTCACAACTTCCTTTTTATCTTTATTGTCTCCCTTACTTTTTATTAAATCTCTAATCATAAAAAATAGGGACTAATTATCTCTTTATTTTATTTCTTATAACATAAAAAATCAATGGTAAAAATAAGATATAAAGTATTTCTTATAACATAAAAAACCGATGGTAAAAATAAGATATAAAGATAAAGTTCTATGATACTAGATTTCTAAAATCAATGGTAAAAATAAGATATAAAGTATTTCTTATAACATAAAAAACCGATGGTAAAAATAAGATATAAAGATAAAGTTATATGATACTAGATTTCTAAAACTAAATGTTACAACAACATACTTCTTTTCCTTTTTATCTCCAAAATTTGCATTTGCCTGCCCCCTTTTATACTAAAAGAACAGAGAAAATGGATGATGCACAAATTTTATATTGTCAACTAATAACAGTCATATATCTTGTTATAGTACGCTTTCATTTTAAAATTCTTTTAATAACATAGTAGACCGTTGATTTTCTAATATTATATGAATTGTATCCAAGGTAGATCAGTTTTGCAATATTGTGTGTTATTCTTCAGGGTTGCAAGATGGTAGAAATGTCCTGTGAGGAACATGATAGGGCAGCTGCAAAGAGCCAATTTATCACACACACAATAGGCAGGTATGCAGCTTCCTACATAACTTCCTAACCAACCAGAGACAGACAAGCATCTATTTATACACTCACTCACTGTAACTTTTTGGTGTCTTCTTTACAAGGACATTGGCAGAAATGGATATTAAATCTACACCTATTGACACCAAGGGCTTTCAGGCACTTGTTCAGTTGGTAAACAGTTCTTAGCGTAATCTTCTAAAGCTCTCTCTTTTCTGTTTTAACCACAAAAAGATAAACTATATAGCATATGCTGTCGTTTAACATAAAAATAATCGATTGCAGAAAGAACCCGTCATGGGATGCAGTTTTGATCTGTATAGTGGATTATTTGTGTACAACAGATTCGCCAGACAAGAGGTAAGGAACGGCCAGCAAAATGCTTATCTTCAAAAATATGTTTGTAAATCAAAAATAAAAATCTTGAAGCCTATAAACCAAGTAACTTGAGATAGACTCATGAATTACAAAATGTATGCAGCTGGAAAACCTTGAACATGCTCTACATAAAGTCAAAGATGCTGGTCCAATGGATGGATGAAGGACAGAACTCGGAAAGCACTGAAAGTTGATGTTGATGCATACTATGTTTTATGATGAAGACATATGGACGAACTATTTATTTCAAATTACCTCTTGTAATCCCTGCCATATAAATTACTTTCTCAGTTTTCTTGTTTACATACCTAAGTTTGGCCACAGAACAGAAAGAAATGGTATATGTTCAACTACATGTATTAAAATTTTAAAACCCTTGGGGTCCATTCTTTAATCTTTATGGTGACTTGGTTGGTAGGTCAACTTGCACAGAAGGGTTTCTCCATCTATCCTGTCATGTCAGTCAAGTTTGTTTATAAGAGAGTTGTGAGAAACAATATCAATGAGAAAAGAGACAGGATCCAACAGATAAGATAAGTAGCAACCAAAGTAAAAGAAACAAATTGATAATTGAAATTTCATTCGGTAACAAGTCTCTCTGCAAAATAAAATTAAGCATAACAAAAATCATCAATTTAGTTATTTATTCAAGGCGCTTGTAAGATATTCTATTGGCTTATGAACAATTAATTTGAGCTTATCTAGTGTCATAAGTACTTGAACGTGTTTGAAAGATAGCTTGTGAAAACCACTTAACACTTAAATGAAAACAAGTTAAAATGTTTAATCGATAAGTGATTAACTAAGCTGTTTATCCAAAAACAACTGTAGCTCTAAGACTTGTTATTCATTTTCATGTCGGAATCACATAACTAGAAAATATGGCAACAACAGCAAATCACCTCCAGTGAACATGTTTATAAATCATAATAAACACAAGGACATTTTTTCAACTAAAAACTCAATTGACACTCTGAGACTAACTAAGATTCCAGCTAAAAACTCATAAAAAGAAAAAACGGAAAATTAAAATTAAAATGCATACTTTTTATCCATATACTGATTGAGTGGTTCCTGAAGATCAGAGGGAAGGCCTCAATAGCCAAAGATAAACGCTTATCAATCTCAACACAATGCTTATGCAAATTCTTCACAATCTCAAGCTCCAATTCCATATCTTTTCGAACCAGAGCCTGTTCAGCTTCCCCCAAATAAACAATCTAGCATTCATCAACTCCTCCCACACTTTCTCTGTCCCTTTCGCCAACGGTTCACCAATAGCCATTGGATCATAAATCCTCGATGTTATCACTTCCTCCTCTATCTTCTTCACCTCCTCCGTTACAATTAATAATTCACCAAACAGAAATCAATTAAAGGGATAAATGATGACGAAACATCAAATTTATATTGAATAAAGAAAAGTAATTCATAAAATGCATCGATACAAGATACATAGCAACACGTAACATATCTCAATTTTGCATCATCAAAATGGGAAATGCGAGAAAATAAAGGGCTAAAATTTGGAAGGGGAAATTGGCAAAGCAAATAAAATCGCATTGCACTTTTTTATCAACTAACTGAGCAAATATTGCCTAATGTGATCTACTCTCTCTGTCCCAAATTATAAGAGAAATTCGCTTTTTAGATTCATTGAATAATTAATGTATCTGGTCTATATAGACCAGATACATTAATTATTCAATGAATCTAAAAAGTGAATTTCTCTTATAATTTGGGACGGGGGGAATATATCTCAAGTTCAATACCTAGACAAATACAAGACAATTATAGTTGCTTTAAATCCTAATCTAAATGCATTACATCTAGAAGAATTAAGGTTGCCATATTACAAAGGAAGTTTGGAGCTAGGAAAAACCGCATTGCTCCTTTTTATCAACTAAAAGTAAATGCTACAAATCTTATGATTTTCAGAAAACTAGATGTTAACTAAGATACAATGTCTAAAACCTAGTTTTGGTCAATTAGCTCCATAAAACCTATTGACTATCACATTCAACTCCGATGTAATCATCATTGTCCTCATCAGAACTACAAGTGTTGTCCATGATATTGACTTGCGATTGTTGAAACTTGTTGATAGCATCTCTAGCTTCAGAAACCAATGCATCTTTTGCTGCTTTAACATTCTTTTTCTGAATGTGGTTTCCTTCTCCAACAACAGAATTTTTTGTCCGTGTAGATGCTGCTCTTCTCTTAAGTTCCCTAAATCTTAATTGATTGACGTATTTTTCATGTTGCACCTTGTTCTTTACTTTCTTTAGCACAGGTGGACTAGCAAGATCTTGAACACCTGATGAGCCACTAAATCTAGAAAGAGACTTCTTGCGACTTGAAAACGAGGATGATCCATCAGTGAAATTTAGTAGAAACCCTTGATTTTCCTTTTGCAGCTCTGGAGTACAAAGTGCCTGACTAGGCTGAAAACCATTAGTAGCAAAATCAATGTTGGGTTCAAGAGCAGAAAATATGTCTCCTTTATGGACTTGATCCACCTTAAGATGGCGCTGCAACATATTCTCAATAGACTTCTGGTTAACAATGCTTTTTGGTTTGAGAATATTTGATTTAGAAACCTTCTTTTCAGTAGGTTTGAGAAGTTTACTTGCAGATATTGAGAATTGATGAAGAGGCGAAGAGTTAATTGTCTTTGTCCTTGATCTAGGCTGACATGGAGGTGGCGTTTGGAAGTCATGGTGAACCCTATCGAAACAATCTTGTTTAGACTTCCCAGGTACCTGCAACAGATTTTGTACAGCAATTTCAATTACCAAAGTAATTAAGCACATGTAGACTTTTCTGGCAATCAATTAACCATGAACAAATTATAATTTTACACTTTTCTTCGTACTGGTTACAAATAACAATCATTGAACCAGTGATGGGAGACACAAAGTTATCGCAAAGGCACAAGCTTGATGCCTCAATAATGCAAATGCTCACATTCACATCATAGATAAACAATTCCAATGAAGATATTAGAGAGATGTGAAAGATTTAGCAAATATACAACAAAAGATAACTTTTTTACAACACCATAGTAAAAACAGTTTACATCCCAATCATATGGAAGCTAATACTTGAACTAAAAATGCAATATTTTCAAACAGAAAGAGAGAGAAAGCATACCAGTTTGGATACTTTCTTCCAGAAATTGGGACTAGGTTTTGCAGTAAAGTAAGCTGTTCGCAGTGCCAGCTCTTGTTCCTTAGTCCACCCTTCAGCAATTTCACCTCCCCCTTGCTTTCTTTTCCCTCTCACTCCAGATCCAACTTGTTCCATCGGACTCTCTTCAACGATTTCATCGCCACCGAGCTTTCTCTTCCCTTTTCCACCAACTTCAGCCTCAATTCCCTCATCACCGCTACTTTTCTTCGTTTTCCCTTGCTTCCCTCTTGTCGAATCACCGCTAAGTTGAACGCCCTCATTCAGGTGAGCTTTATGATTGGAGAACCTAGCAGATCGTCTGAGAGAGAGAACTTCATCGTTCGACCTGGGTGTTTTCCTTACCCTGACAGCGGGGGTTCTTGACTGGGTAGAAGATTTTTGTGTGGATTTAGGTTTGGGGGTGGTGGGATTGTTGTTCTCGTGGAGGAGAATGAGCCTCTGTGATCTACGAGGTGAGGATGGAGAGTGCACGACGGTAGGGTTTCGGTTTGGCATTTTCACAAACACTTGATGGGGTCAATTGTACAGAGTAGAAACAAAATAGCTTGGTTGTTTTTGAGAGGGAAGATGGTGAATTCAAACTTGTGATGATGAATGATTCAAATTTGCATTAACACGGTAAATGAATAGTGTTGGGCTGACTTCAGGTATAGCCGTACAGGAATTTGGAGGTTTTAACTTGCCCACCCCTAAATTGTACCTAACACTCTCATTTATATTTAGTGTTTTTACTGTTATACCCTCATGTAAATATCGGATTTTCTAAAAAATACCGTTTGTTATAATTTCAAGTAAAAAGAACCATCTTACTGCAAATTTGAAAATTTCTAGTATTAACAAAAAATTATGAAAATATATAAAATTTTCAGTATAGCGTCAAATTTCTAAAATCTAATTTTTTTCAATTACTTTTTTTCGAATAACTGAATCGATAAAAAAGATACTCGATAAAATATATACATATAAAAATTGTGCTACATATAAGGATACAAAAAAAAATAGGATGATTTTCTAATTTCGTATAAAGCAATCCACATATGTTGATAACCATCATCAATTTATTGATATCCTACATACCCAAGTGGTCTACTCGTAACACATTCCTAACTGTAGAATTTGTGTCATAGAATAATTTGGAAAATAATTGAGTGTGTTGACGAACTTGAGTATTTAACTGTGTATGTATCAAAGGCCATGACTCTTCACCTCATCCATGCAAAACTAAAATAGCACGGAAACCATAATTTTCATCGTCACCAACATCAATAACCTCATCAATGTATGGATGTAAGAAATCGGAAAATTGGGACAAGTAAACATGTCTTGAAGATTCAGTGGAAGGTTGGCTATCAATTGCATACTTAACAGTTGACTTGCAGTTGATTTTGTGCACGATCTCTTCGTAATCTGACTCTCCTGTGAGCCCTCAGTATGCTGTCATTGGCTAGGATCATGATGCACATCACTCTCTTGACTCTTTCTACTATTGTTATTTCCTCTCATAAGCTTGTACTTCACCTGCAGTGGACACATAAAAGTTGTGGATGGAAGTGTTAGTTCCCGAAACTTTTTCTTCAACACCCACTGACCTACAATATCTACAATACTGAAATATATCTTCTACTCTTCACACTCTTCTTCTAAATCCAACTGTGTACCATTTTCTTCATGACTAACCTCATGCTCTTCAATGTGTAATTTCTTCCAAAAAACATGAATTGAGTCTAAAGGAACATGATTGCCTTGTAGTTAGAAACCGGCAAGCTGACACACACGGTAATCCATGTGTTTTTCTAATGAAGTAACCACATCTTTCTTGGCTTGCACTAACAAATTTTACCTTTTCTAGTTCCTCTCCAATGAGTTGTATACATTATCTTGAAACAAAACCATGCAAGTTGGAATAGAATGGAGTGTTATACTGATGCTCAATGTTGACAATACTTTTTTGAAACAAGACTCTGATTAAACCTAGATACAACTTCAATATGGTGCTCACAACATCCCAACTTCGGCATAAGTCTCCCCGGCTTATAGTCAACATGTTTTTTAGTCTCCAATGAACAGACTCCACCCTAAAAACCATAAATAGAAATATATGTTAGATTATGATTAGTAATGTAACAACATCAAAATGCCATGTTCCTTGTACCTGTTTTTTGTTGTGTTCCTTAAATGAGTGAATATGTTAGTTCGAGCAGCAACAAAATTTTCTTTATAAGGTGTCAACTGTGTTTCATTCACATACTTAACAAATAAAAGAATATCAGCACAAATAGTCTCTAAGTGTTTGAAGTGTTCGACAAACTAAATTTCTCTATTTCAATACATGATCTTGTCCCGTAGATCCATGACATATTAGTGTCTTTATGATTTAACATACTATTTACATTTCGTACTAACATTTTATGAGATATGGAACGAACACAACAGATGAGTTGAATTTGGGAACACAGATCCATGGTATTCATCAACGCAAGTTTTTGTTCCGTCACCACAACCTTCGATAGAAATTTCTCGGAAGAGAATAAATTTTTGAGCTTCTCCAGTGCCCATTTAAAATTCTCCTCCCTTTCATGATCCAAATAGGCAAAACCACCCGAAAACTTCAACTTCGTTGACGTAACACCAACAATCTCAAACAGTGGTATCTAATGTATGATCACGATGGACATAATAAAAAAAGTGATAAATCATAATCAACATTTTAATAATCAGTGATGGTAATTACCTATTTGTATTGTATGTGCAATCAAAAATCAACACCACATGAAACATATTCAACAACTTCACTGAATCAAGATGTGTCCAAAAGATATCAGCAACAACATTTAAGTCGTCTCTATTTTTAGTCCAACACATGTATTTCTATCTATGAATAAGAGTCAACAACATCTACATTTCCCTTAATAAACCTCTCTTGCTCATTCTTTATATAAATCTAGATTTATACACCTGGGTAATACTCGTGAGGTTTTATGGATCTTTGTCTTTCAAACCAGCAACTATGTACCTTGGAGCCATATTGTACTTTGTCATGTCACTCACAAACTATCTTTCATGATCTTTTAGACGGCCTAATATATCATGGCCTTCCAAGTTCTTAGATAGTTTATTATTTTGCATCCTACATCTAACAATCACCTTCCAACCGATACTCCTTAGTACAGATCTCAACCTAAAAGGACATTTAACTTTCGCACTATAAATGCCTTCTAAGGAATCATTGCTTTTAGATGCATTCTTTCTTTTGTAATTTCTTTCTCTCTCATAATCCATAATCAATTTATCTTTCCTCACCGGCTTTCTATTAGCAGAGTCGGAATAAACAGTGATAACAATAATACAATGTCGTTTACCAGTAGCATGTGCCCATGCTAAAACTTCAGATCATGACTTAAATATCTATCAATTACAACACATGAAAAGTAAACTATCAATATCATAGAGACGGGAAAACCTTTAAAATTTAACTTGTTACATAGAAAATATACAACATCAGTGGTGAAGAACTCCGTAAAATCTGTACAGGAATCTGTAGAAGAAGCTGTCAGTTCTAGACCACACAAGTAAAACATTTTTCTATACTACTACCTAAAATTTCAAATATAGGCAAAATTTCCAGTATACTGGAAATTTCAAAAATTACGGAAGATTTTGTTACATACTAGAAATTTCTGGTATGCTTTTTCTTTTCTCAGATCAGCACCAAAAATTTTCAAATTTTCTAGTAAATTTTATTTATAAATTTAGGAATTCCTACGCTATATCCAGTAAGAACGCGAATATGGCTGCAAAATGAGAAAACGTCTATCGAAATTTCTAAATTGGATACTGGAAATTTCGATTTTGACTGCTTTGACAGTGATTTTTTTAATGAAAGTAGTTTTTTTAGGGTAAATAATAAAAAGGGGCATTTTTGTCATTAAGTAAATATGGGGGGTGGCAGGTACAACTTGAGGGTGGCAAGTTAAAATCTCAAGAATTTAGGGATTGCTATTACTCAATAGACACTTATATAAGTATATCACACTCTTGAAAATTCAAAACTGCCATTCATGAATCTGAAGATGCATCTCCAGACGCATCCAAATCAAAACCAAAATGCATTATTCTAAGATCCACCACAATTTTGAAAAAAATATGATTCAGATATGCATCTTTGTATGGTATTTGGGTGTATTCGAAGATGCATCTCTGAAATGTCTTCTGAAAGCTTCTAAAATTGTTGTAAATACAAAGGGGGACTGTTGTACCCCAAAATTTTCCCTCCCTTTTTCACAAGAAATCACAACCCCAGGGTTTTCTCTGATTTTTGAGATTGGCTCAAGAATCGGTCAAACAGACTTTTCTTTATCAGTCAATCCAGAATTAGGGTTTTCTCTGATTTGTTAAGATTGACTCAAGAATTGATCAGACAGATCTTTCTTTGGCAGTAATCCAGGATTAGGGTTTGCGCTCGCATTTCTCAGAAGAAACTGAATCCTCGGAAATTCAGTTGACTGTTACATTATTTTTACGCTTGTTCAAGATTACTGGTTATTTCTCAAAACCTAGTTATCTGGGATAGGAGCTGAGACTTTGGTTTAGAACATTAAGGCACTTGTTTGATCAGTGGAGTGAAAGGGTTATGGAATGCTTGTTTGTTTAACTGTACAATGCATATGTTAATTGGAATATTATGCGTATTGTGATTGATGTAAGGTTGCGAGACTGCAAAGTTTGTTGATTATTTATTTCATCTGGATTAGAATTATTGAGACACCGTTTCAATTATTTTGATTTAAGAGTCTTAAATAATTAAATAGACAATGCAAGGAAAGTTTGGAATATTTGACAGTAGAAAATTCTTTTTGGATAAAGACTTTTATTTATTTCAAGTGTTGTTACAAATTTTATTCGAATATTGTAAGATTACAACTTATAATATTTAAAATAATATTTGTTTACAATAACTGGAAAGTAAATCTAAGCCTAATCTCCTAAGGTCTTTGACTTCTACTGCTTCCTCTATCATCCAACTGGTACTTACCTGCAAAAGACAGAGAAAAAGAAATTAGTATAAGAATTTTCAAGCAGAAAAGGAAGAAAGAAAAGTCATCATTAAAGTTTGTCGGCCGGAATCAGAAATGCTATGTTCATCATATTTTATTTTCCTCTCTGTAAATCACAAGAAGATCGCTCTTCTCGGTTCACAGAGAGAAAATATAAAATATATAAAATGCAAGCATGTCAAACTAGATGCAAAAACATGGTTTAAATACAAAGGTACAAAGTTGCATTAACCAAGTAAATTGAACTGCAAACTGAGTTTCAAAATGCATTAACCAAATGTCAAACTGAGTTGCCAAACTGTCACAGCAAGTACAATGCAGAAGTATACAAAGCAAAAAGTTGCAAAGCTGTCAAAGAAAGTACACAATGCAGAAAATATGGAAAGAAAGTACAACAATGCAGCAAGATAAACCAAGTTACAAGCAAGAAGGCTTGTCCAA